CAACACTTGGAATCTCATCACTTGCGGTTAGGGTGACACGTGTATTATTATTATACAGGACTTATATGGCGCCAACAGTGAGCGCAGCGCTGTACAATATAAGGAAGACATTACAGTCACAATACAAGATGGTGAGGAGGCCCCGCCCCCGAGGGGCTTACAATCTAAAAGTACAGATTTAAAGGATTTTCCCCAAGAGCAGATGTACGTCCAGCCAAGTCCACTCTTCACTCCCATCACAAGGGGGAAATGTTATACAGGATTAGATATGACTCATTCTGGGGAAAGAACGGATGATGATTGATGATGATGGATGATGAGGATGATAATGGATGATGAGGATGATTGATGCTGATAATTGATGATGATGATAATTGATGCTGATAATGGATGATGATGATAATTGATGATAATGAATGATGATGATGATTGATGATGATGATAATCGATGATGATAACTGATGATGATGATAACTGATGATGATGATAATTGATGATGATGATAATTGATGATAATTGATGATGATAATTGATGATGATGATGATGATAATTGATGATGATGATTGATGATGATAATGGATGATGATGATGATAATTGATGATGATGATAATTGATGATGATGATTGATGATGATAATGGATGATGATGATGATGATGATTGATGATGATAATGGATGATGATGATGATGATTGATGATGATAATGGATGATGATGATAATTGATGATGATGATAATTGATGATGATAATTGATGATGATGATAATGGATGATGATGATGATGATTGATGATGATAATGGATGATGATGATGATGATAATTGATGATGATAATTGATGATGATGATGATGATGATTGATGATGATAATGGATGATAATTGATGATGATGATAATGGATGATGATTATAATGGATGATGATGATAATGGATGATGATTATAATGGATGATGATGATAATGGATGATGATGATAATTGATGATGATGATAATTGATGATGATAATGGATGATGATGATGATGATGATAATGGATGATGATGATGATGATGATGATGATAATTGATGATGATGATGATGATGATAATTGATGATGATGATGATTGATGCTGATAATGGATGATGATGATGATTGATGCTGATAATGGATGATGATGATGATTGATGATGATAATGGATGATGATGATGATGATAATTGATGATGATAATTGATGATGATGATGATTGATGATGATAATGGATGATGATGATAATGGATGATGATGATAATGGATGATGATGATAATGGATGATGATGATAATGGATGATGATGATGAAACTGTGTTTGTAATATGGCAGCTGCCGTGTATAATCCGGTCCATATGAACCTTCAGTTCTCTTGTAATTGGGCTCCGTCTTGTCCGCAGGTGGACGCCATGCCGAAATGCATCTTCAGATCCTGCCCGCACTTCCTGGGAAAGAACTGCTTCTCCCCGGGAATAACGCTGCACGTCTTCCCCCGAGACCTCGGCCGGATCAAGCTTTGGCTGCAGCGGACCGGTCAGTACTATGACGACGTTGATGACATTGCCGAGACCATTTTGTCTTCGAAGGCCGGTTCTTACCGCATGTGCTCCGCCCACTTCGTTCCCGAATGTTACACGTCTCAGGGGACCAAAGAGGTCCTCAAGCCAGACGCCGTGCCCACGGTTTTCCCCGGGAACGTGGTGGAAGTCGCCATAAAGCACGTTCCTCAGAAGAAGAAGCAGCGCCTGGAAGAGAGGGAGGCCAGGAGAAGGGCCCGCTGGACCCAGGTGGACGCCGGCACCTCCACCGTACACATCATACAGACAGAGATGGGCACGCAGACTGACCTCACCACGGTGACCATCCAGCCTTGCTCCCTCAGTGTTCCTCGCGGGAATACCATCGACAGGGGCGTCCAGTGGCCTGAATACGAGTTCAATTTTTATGGGGAGGACTGGAAGGTGCAGCTGGACCACATGTATTTTAACAGCAGATTTAAATGCATCCAGGAGCTACCAAACATGGACCAGGAAGAGATCATGAAGGACCGTCATCAAGCCCCTTCCACCGCACAGCCACATGGCTCCTCCCAGGAGGAGGAGCGCGTTACCCGACAGGAGCCTCGCAAGGCGGAGTCTGAAACTGGCACCTCCCCCGAGACGCCGGAAGGATACTTCTTCTCCAAATGTTCCTTGAGGAACAAGAAAACATTATGTATCCTTCAGGCCAAACTGGTGAGTATACGGTATATATTTTATGGGGAACCTCAGCCTAAGTGGGAAGTATTAAAGGAGAAGTACGGGGTCGGGGCTTTCCCCCATAGGTCTCCTTAGGGTAACGGGAGGTCACAAACTAGCGTCCTCCCGTCACCCCAGGCTCAGTATATAGGGAGCTACAGCTCGCGGTATACTGAGACGCCGCAGCCGGAGCGGATCCCGACGTAGATGACGGGATCCGCCCAGATGTGTGACTGACAGCTGGCTCCGCCTATCTAGAGGCAGAGCCAGCTGTACCCTCCCCCGTCCGTTCCGCCAGTCAGCGCTGGAGGATCGGAGCGGGGAGAGGGGAATCCAGCCCCTCCCCTGTCACGGCAGAGAGCCGTGACAGGATCGAGAAGTGAGCGAACGCCGGTATCTCTTCGCTCACCTCCCGATCTACTGAGCCGACCTGTGACAGTCTCATTGTCACAGGTCGGCTAGAACTATGAGGAGGAGTGAAAAGCCCCTCCCCCCTTCCTTATTATTATTATTATGACCTTTCAATGCAGTTATTCCTGATGTGCGGCGTTCTCACAAATGTCTTATCTGAATCTAAGAATGTAAATTAGTGTATAGCAGCTTATCAGTCCTTAGATGGGGTGGCTGCATTAGTTTTCAGGTTTCTATACTGGTGATCCTGCCAGTAACACACTTCTTGTTGACAACACTCAGTGTACTCTACCTATGGAGTAGCAATGTTGTCACCTTAAAGGAGAACTATGAGGGGAGTGATTTTCACTCAGCCTCATAATCTGAGCCGACCTGTGACAATGAGACTGTCACAGGTCGGCTCTATAGACCGGGAAGTGAGCGAACACATACTGCCGCTCGCTCACTTTTCGATGTATCCGTGCAGAGAGCTGTGACTGCCACTCACGGCTCCCCGCAGGGATTCCCCCCTCCCTCCCCGCTCCGATCTTCCAGCGCTGACTGGCGGAACGGAGGGGGCGGGTACAGCTGGCTCTGTCTCTGGATAGGCGGAGCCAGCTGTCACTCACGCAACTGGGCGGATCCAGACAGTAATGTCGGGATCTGTCCCGTGTGCGGCGGTCTCAGTATACCGCGAGCTGTAGCTCCCTATATACTGAGCTTAGGGTGACGGGAGGACGCTAGTTTGTGTCCTCCC